CCAGAACATTTAAGCTTCTTGGTAGAAATCCAAATGGCTTCATCCTTCCCACTGAATTCATATATGGGATGGTCCGTTGGCATGTTCTCCTACACAAGCTTGGGTGAGATGATCTTCCCATTCTGTCATTCCTGGCGATGCTCAGAATACAAATCCTGAGGAAGCCATCTCATCTTGCCTTGTGTTACTGTTAATGCTGCCTCCCTTCTTTCTTAAAAAGCATAACAAAAGATGGCCAATCCAGCTTAAAGACTTGCAGAATGGGAAGCTGAGCTCAGAGAGAACCAAATTAAGGAAAGCAGCAGGCGAGGAAAGTGGGCGGGGCCTGGGATGACTCAGAGCCTAGCTAACCCATAATCAGTGTCAGGAGCCGTGCTCCAGTAATGCATATGTGTGGAGGCCCTCACTAACGGATGAGTAACAGCGGGGAAGGATCTAAGACCAGTGCCCTCAGGTAGGTAGCTATTTGGCTTGCCACAAAGTTTGGCAGGCAGCAAACCTGACTTTCCTCTCAGGCTCCATTCAAGCGGATAGTTTTTCCTACCCTGGAGAAGTACCGCTCCCAAGTAATTCCCATTTGCTTTACTTGCGGATTGGGTTTTTTGGTCAGTTTGTGAGAGCAGGATAGGACGCTATCTGGATTATTTTCATCTCAGAAACCAAAACGCTGTGATGATGGCCTTTTTGCTTAACCAATACAATCCTGTGTTTGTCGTTGTGTCGAAAGGTCAAATTTCACACACACATACACACCCCACACACATCTCCTGGTAGCAGAGTTGTTCGGTCGTTATGGAAACAAGGCACACAGAATATTTTAGAAACATCGAATGTGCTAAAATATAATGAGTAGGAAGCCACAAGATAATCAAGTCTCACCCAACATGAAGGTGTGTATGCATATTGGATGGTAGGGAGAAAAATTACTTTTCCCTAAATATGGTAAGAAGCCCTGGTGAACTATCTTTTCAAGCACTTATTGGATGGTCATTAGAATACCTGAGAAGCCATTGGAGAAGCATGAAGCCTCTGCCCAATCTGGGACCCATCGGCCCAAAGTTAAAAATGCTGCTGATCCTAGTTCTTATTTAAGTAGACTTGGCTCATTTTCCAGAAGACCAGGACAGAGACAAACCTTGTTTATGAATAGGATTTTTTTTTTCAAATGTCAGAATATAATATACAGGTAGTCCTCGCTTAACAACCATTTGTTAAGCAACTGTTTAAAGTTATGAGAGCGCTGAAAATTGACTTATGACCAGTCCTTGCACTTACAACTGTAGCAACATCCACGCGGTCACATGATCATAATTTGGGCACTTGGCAACTATGTACATTTATGATGGTTGCAGCGTCCTGTGGTCACATGATCACCATTTGTGACCTTCCCTGCCAGCTTCCAACAAAGTCAATGGGGAAGCCGCAGGAGGTCACAAGTCATGGTCATTTGATGTCTCACTTAATGACCACAGGTGATTCACTTAACTACAGGAACTGCCGTCACTAAGCAGGGCAGTCACGTGATGTTTCACTTAATGACAAAGTTGCCAGTACCAATCAGGGTTGTTAGGTGAGAACTACCTGTAATGTCAACCCTACCTGCCATTTGTGCATTAATTTTCTAGTATATTGTTTTGTCCTTCTTTACCCCTGTACAGATCAGCATGCACCAGAGGCCCACTTTGTCAATGACCAGGGGAAGGTTCAGCACAGAAACCCATTGCTTTCCCCATAACAAGGTTTTAACACAGTTCCCATTGTGGAGTACTATCAGATGCTGGTTTTCTACTAGACAGCCAGCATTAGGAGCTAATGCCCAACTCCCAGTTTGAGTGCTCTGTGGAAAGTTCATAGGGCTGCCAGAGAGAATACCAAGATACAGTCAAAGGATATGGGTAAGGCCTTCAGTACTCAGGTCTTTTTTCTGCTCTCCATCTCAGGTATCTTTCTGAAAATAAATCCTCAGAATGTAACTATTTCCCTGGTGAAAATATATACTCCAGTGAAGGCTACTGATGAGCAGCCAGTGACTTAAGAGTTTATAAGGTCATTAATCTCCAATGCTTGTTTATAGTATCGCTACCCAAACAGCAAGCCCTTCCTGATGCAGTCAGTAACTACTGCAAAGGGAATATTATTGTTTACAGTCCAGAGAAAAAATTCAGTGGGCATCCTACATATAACCTTGCACAATTCATGAAATTATTTTCAAAATTATCCTTTGACTATCCTTAGGAACACCTGACAGTTCCATAAAGTATTTCCATAAAAGTAATGTATTGCGATCCATTATCTATTTGGTTAGAAACTGTCTGCAGCAGCCAATAACCAGAGCTAAGTTGTTCTTGGAAAATGGAATCCATCCGCGGCTGAGGTCGATTACATTAAAGGCGTAACCCAAAAAGAATAAAAACAACTTGCATCATTTAAAATTACATAATATGCTGTAGGTAACAAAGACAAGATTAATGGGGATATTGTTTCAGTAAGAATCATGTCATAGTCTGCACCAATTTTTGATGCTTTGGTACGTATTACCAAGAAAGGATGGGGAAGTCTTCAGACGCTCCGTCTTACTGAAATAATATCTCCTTTAATTAAGCTGAATTTTGCGATTTGCTTAGGGCTGAGTCAAAAAATAATGTAATTCTGCAATTTGTGTTGAAAGGCCCAACATTTTTGATATTCTTTAACATCTTTCTTGCACACAGTACTTTTGGATCCTATTAGCTGTAACACTGCATGATCATATTGATGTCCCTATAGTTTATCTGGTATGTCACATCTCTTGTGAACAAAATCAAGAATTGCCATAGCCAGTTATACTGCACAGCATACTCCTAGGGGCAAGAGAGAAAGAGACAGAACAGTGAGGGCAAAAGAGAAATTAGAAATCAGTGACATGTAGCAGCAACAAACAGAAAAACATGTCATTACTGAAATGTTTGGAATGCTTAAGTGGGGCTGTTTGCTTTGCATCAGATATGCTCATTTCAGAGAAACATAAAAATAACAGAGGAGTTAGTACAAGCCTCCAGTACAATACAAAAATTGGCAACTACAATTTTGAGCTGCATTAGTAGCAATGTATTTTCCAGATCACAGGAGGGAATAGCTCCCTTTGTTCTGCGCTTTATCAGACCTTGCTCCGAGTACTATATTCCGTTCTGGGCATCATACTGCAACAATGATGTCCAGGAGCCTAGAAAACTAAATCACATGAAGGACCCGGAAGCGTTTAGTCTTGAGAAGTCTGAGGTGTGATATGGGCCAGTCTTCACTTACCTGAAACAAAATTGCGTAGGTCAAAACCTGTTCTTCAGCATTCCTGAGTGCAGTAGTTGGAATAATAGAACTAAGTTACATGATGGCCGATTCCTACCGAATGTTAGAAAAAAGTTCCTCACACTGAAAGCAGTTTGAAAGTGGAACAGTTACCCAGCGAGAGAGTGAGTTCCCCTTCACTGCACGTATTCTTCACTTGGAGATGCTTTAATGATAGCATTCCTGCACTAAGCAAGGAGTTGGATTCTATTCTATAAGAATATACAAAGAATTGTGGAAATGACTGAAGCTCCCTTCTGCCTTCTGTAACAGCAGCAGGAAATTGGAGACCAATCTTCAAGCTTAATTCCTCATCCATAAGGGCTGGAAACTTGATTATTCTAAAATTAAAAGAGGAAGAGGCAACACCTGCCTTTTGCAAGAGAAAACACACTTTAAGCTACACCAAGTCTACATAGTACAAGCAGAGTATTGCTCTCCCAGATCATTTTTGTTTCATTATAGACCCACAGCTCTCGCAAAAGGATCCACGCACAGATCTGCTATGCTCCGTGGGGCAATGACAATTCTGCACTGTTGGGAGAAAGCTTCCTCTCCCCCGCGTAACAAAATAGCATCTATCAGTAACAATCAAGGCTGCTTGTATGCCATAATTCCATAAAAAAGTGTTTGGGTTTTTTTAGTTCAGCTTGACTTCTGGTGTTTTCAGGGACATGACCATGTTATTTTCTTGGCAAGAATACAAAGGCAATTTGCCATTACCCTCTGATACCCTTCAATTTTCTGGTGGCCCCCATCCAAGTATTAGCCAGATTTAATTGTGTTTAGCTTTTCAGGATTGGCTTAGGTAGGCCAGTTGCTGTACCTACTGTGACATAATTCCACAGAAGTCCAGAGAAAGTACAAGAAGTATTACTAGGAGTACAGTTCAACTGAGAGGCTCAATTTAAGTTTTGTTAAAAGAGCAAATTTTAGCTCTTTGCCAGGAAAATATATCTGAAAAAATATACCACCTCCGGCAACCAGAGGGATGAGTAAATACTGTTTCCTATGGTTAGAGATATGGCTTCAACAGACCAGAAAGGTCCTTTCCCCTCCCCATGACTAGCAAAATCAGGATAAATTAGCAATGAATTGGGGGAAAAAAGCAGCAAAAATACAATTATGAACATTCTGGAATTTGGCTTTCTTAGGAATACCATTGGCTTGCTAAGTGTAAAGTATTAATTTGTTTTTAGAAAAGAAAAACTTGAAATAAAATATGATAATCCCTATGATTAACAGGTCACATCAAGGTCAGACTGCAGTTTAGGTCAGATCAGACCATCAATGCTGCTGTTACTGGCAAACAATCCAACACTAAATTGCAAGGCTGCTCAGCTTCCAACAGGAAACAAATTTTGTCAAAGACATCATTACCTTGAAAAAAAAGAGACTTTCCCCTCCCAGTACTGTTCACACAAGAACCCTGTTAGTAAATTGCATCTGGCCCCAAAAGATTCGTCAGCACTCACTCAAGATCTAAAGCTTGGAGGATTTATGGGGCCACTGGGGCTGGAGGAGAATGTTCAAGAAGCTCAGTGACATTGGGCCAACCTTGGCACATCCTGATAGAAAGAATTAATGCATTCCACTACTGTCACCAAGCCCCAACCTCACCAATGTTCCCTTCCTGTTTCACCTTTGGCAAGGAAAAATCAAACAGAGAACGGAAGTGAAATATTTTAATTTCAATCACACACAAAAACACACACATGATATCAGGCTAAAAAAAGAGCAAAATCTGGAGCCACACCTTAGGCGACAGCTTGGTATGAGAAGAATTCTCATGAAACCACTATTATTTTGGTCCTATAAAGAGTTTTAAAAGCAAAGTAGGTTATACTGGAGAAACAAGATTCCTCCTTTTCTCTTCCCCCGTACAGCAATGAGATGCTGTCTTTAAAAAAAGGGTGGGGGTAGAAGGTAGCCTTGCAGCTACAGTTTTGGAGAGAAGGGAAAATCTGTCATTACAGACACAAAGATGACGGCCCCCAATCTAAGAGCGATGCCGCTTTATCTTTAAACATTTAGGTTATTTTCACCCCCTGCCCAACACACACCTGCTAGCAGTTCCATAGGAGAAATAAAGGGCAGGCAATGGTTTAAGGCCTTTGGAGGAGAGGGGAAAAACAACAACATGGGACCAGTGGGAGGTAAAGTTGAGAAAAGACAAGCAGTGGTTCAGCTTCTTCTGTGTCTACTGCTCACTGGGATTTGGGTTGGCATCAGGATACTTGGTGAGGTCAAAGGTCAAGACTTTGCTGATGACACAATCTCCTTGCTATTGTGGGGAAAAAAGAGGGAAAACAGCATAATATATCATCCTGTTCTTGCTCTTCTATAGCAGGCAGATTCAAGACTTTAGTGTTAGTGTGACACTAAAAAAATAGGTAGTCCTTGCGTTACGACCTTAATTGGGACTGGAATTTCCATCACTAAACAAAGTGATTGTTAAGCAAAACATCATGTGACTGCGCCACTTAGCGATGGCAGTTCCAGCAGTCCCAGTTGCAGTCATTAGGCAAGGACCTCACGCTTCTCCTGCCCTGCGTGAACTGCCTCTGCTTCAACTTCCCCCACCTGCCTATCTCCCCGCCATCTCTACCCTTTTGGTTGCCCTACACTTCGCTGCCTCTGTCGTCTTCTTCCTCCTGCTCCTGGCCCAGGATCCAGGTGCTGGGTGAGGGCAGAGCCCTGGGACCTGTGTGGCAAGCACGGCAGAGCCTCGTCTGCCAAAGGGAGCTCACTGGGCCTGGTTGGGAAGGAGGCAGTGGTATGGAGCCAGCAGTGCGGGCAGTGGAGCTTTGTCTTCTGCCACTGGTGTGAGGAGCGATAGCCTGCAGACTGTGAAGAACACAGTGGGACACGGCGGTGAGGCACAGCATGCTCCATTGCTGGGCAAGGCAGGAGAGGTGGTGGCTCCCCGGACAAAGGTGGTGGCTGTGTGGGAGGCAGTGTTCGGTTGGGGTGGCAGTGGAACTGGAGGAAGCGGTGGGACGAGGGCTTTCCCATTGGAAACTGTTGGCCCTTCATGTGCCTTGCAGGAGGAAGGCTGGGCCGAGCAAGCAGAGGGCCTGCAAGCAAGTTCTGTCAGTGCTGGGCTAATCTCCATCCCTCGCTGAAGCCCGCAGGCCAATTCTCCAGGAGCACTTCCAATGCAAGCTGCAGAGTGTCCCCTGTCCTTCCACTTCTTCCAGTTCTGCTTGCCCAGAAGAGAGTCCCAATACATTGTTCCTAGCATTGCCTTTGTCTCCTAAAATGCCACCTTCACCTTGTTTTCTAGTAGGGCAGCCTTAGTCAGATTTCAGATCTCTCCATTTCATTCAAGGGGAAAGAAGCACGATATTGTTAATAATACTATTTGAAATATTTCTTCCTCCCCTATTCACATTCATACCTCGGGGTAAACACCAATAAGACTCTCAGCCTTGGTGTAGAACTCCTCCTTCAGGGAAATAACAATGGCCTGGAAGTTGCAAGTCGATTGTTCCTTGATGTAATTGGCTACCTGTTCGGAAAATGGGGGTGGGGAGAAAAGGGTGAACTGGGAGCTGTCCAAGTCTTTCCCAGAGCCAGAAGGGTTTGCCTGTCCATCCTATCCTACCAACCTTTCCAATGTTGGTATTGTCCAAAGCAGCATCAATCTCATCCAAGACAAAAAATGGAGCAGGCTTGTAGCTGGGGACAGAAATGGCAAACAGTCACATGAACACATGGAGTTGCTTCAATGGAAATAAGCTCTTTTTCAACTCGCTCCGTGCTGTCCACCTTCACTAGCAGTAGCTCACCAGTTTCAAGGCAGAAGAGCGTCCTAGCAGCTACCATCTTAGATACTCCCTTTGCAGATGCTTTGTACATATGAAGGATTCCCATACTCTGGGCAGGGGTTCAGCAAAAGGGAAACAAAACAAAGCAGCCTGCATTGCTCTTTTGCTAACACAGACAGTGGCCAAATGACACTTCGCTGCCTTGGGTGAAGTGGGCAGGAGGATATTGTGATACTAGCTGGAAGAAAGAGCAACCAGCCCAAATCAGCCAGTGCCATTCCTTCCAATCTCCTAGGCCAACCCAATACTTCTCTCCCTCCCACTATATACAACACACTCATGACTTCTCCTGCTACTGTCATGTTCCCTGCATCATGCCTCTAATTACTAAAGCTGCCCATACATGCTCACATGCCCAACCTTATAACCAGTACTGTGGCTCTGTCCATGTCTTTAGTCTGCTCTCCTGTCCCCCAAAACTACCCAATTATCTCACCTCTCATGGTCTTCCCTTAAACTTTCCTTCTATACATTTTGACAGCCCTCAGCTCCAACCCAATGTCTTCCTGAGTCCATAGCTGAAGACTCTTTGGCCCCCCTCATGGCCACCACCACACACACAAGCTGGAGCTTGCACAGGAACTCCAGCTTCACCTAACCCCCCGAGAAGGATGCAGCTGCTTCTCTAGGCATGCAAAAGGGCTTCTTTGTACAATGAGAAAATAAGTACATGAGAGGGGGAGGGGGCTAGTCATTTAAAAAAAAAATTCAGGTTTGTTTTTAACTGCTTTTATTCATTAAAAAAAAAATACTGCGGGGTGGAGGCAGGAAGGAATTTCCCCTGAACAGGAAAATGATAACTTCTGTAAATTGAATAAATTCCTTATTACATATAAACACCATTTTTCAACTGTATGAAAGTACGAATCTATTTAAAAGCATTTCTCAAAATTACCAAATCTATATAGCTTTTTCTTTATTTCACTCAATAGATATTAAAAGTACAACTCCTATCGTCAAGTTGATTGAAGAATGTTTTGATATTAAAAAGGGTTCATCATACTCAAATAGTTTGGGAACCACTGGTATATAACAAGGGATGCACTTATCCTGTTGATTAATCCGAATCTGACAAAAGCAGTCCCTGGAAACCACAAGTCAAGATTCTCAACCATGGGCCATCTCTTGGGCTGTCTGGGGATCTGAGTTTTGTGCACAGCATGGCCACAAACTTTTCTCTTTGTGACGTCCATGGTCTCTACCTCATGTAACGCTTCTGTTTTATGACTGGACATGCCATCCTGGCAACTAGGCAGGACAACATTCCATAGCACCTGTAATGTCCACAACATGTTCTCAAAACTCCAGATACACAAAATGGTCAAAAAGGCTGAGGACCCACACCATGGTAGATGACATCAGAGGATTACAGAGTACTTCATTTTCAATTCTGATTAAGAAGGGAAGTCGCTATCCCCTTGTGTCACCCCCTCCCCTTCCTGGCTGTTGGTGGAATGATTTCTGGAGACAAGCAAATAGTATCTACAAAAGAGCCCCTCACTGACTGAAGGAAGGATATGTGACATCTGCATCTACCTGACCTTTCACTACACATTCTCCAGGCTTATACTCCTCTACATCAAAAAATGATTTGGGCTAAAAGGTCTAAAGTGTAGACCCACCAGAAAACTTATACCCTCCAAAGTGTTTAAAGAACAATGAGCCATCTCTACAATTCTGCTCTCCTCACCCCCCACTAATATTCTAAATCTCAGATCTGGATAAGACTAACCAGATTTTCCTTCAGAGCAAGTTCGGCCTCACCTGTGGATGGCAAAGAGTAGAGCTAAAGCTGCCACCGTCTTTTCCCCACCAGACAGATTGTCCATTGGCCGGAAACGTTTGCCTGGGGCTACGCAATTGTAATTGATGCCATCCAGGTAAGGCTCTTCCGGGTTCTCAGGACCCAAAAAGGCCTGCGGAAAAAAGAATGGATGGTATTGAGGGAGACCACCAAATATCTTAACAAGAGATTCATTGTTTGTAGCACTACGAAATTATAACCATACTCAAGAGGAAAGATGGAAGAATAGATACATACGGCCTATTTCCAGGAGTAGAGGGTGGTGGTGGGGTGCCTTAGAATGCAAAATAAGTTCAGAAGATCAAAAATTGTGGCATTAATTTTTTAAAGGAAGGCATTAAAGTTTATAGTCATTACAGTTGGAAAAAAACCCTTCATTATATCATCACAGCAAGGAGAGAGAATGAGTCCTGTACTGTATTGCATCTCCTTCTCTTCACAAACAGTGGTGCTATTTCAAATGTCTGACTGGGGCCATGTACATAGTTCTTCAGGCAGCAAGAGTTACAGGCAAAAGTAATTGGTTCAGCACATGTAGGACTCTGAGAGGGGATCAGGCTGTTGCCAGGTGGAAGAACTGGGGCAATGACAATACAGGGGGCAGCAAATCAAAGCCTTGCACATGGATAAATATACTTTGCATATGAATGAAAGAACAGCTGCTAGTCTTTGATCAGTCTTCTGGGTGCTGAATGACATTTTTCCAGACAATTCTGTTTGCAACTGGAAAGCAAATTTGCATGAATCCAATTTCTTTCCACCTGACTCCCATGAGAATGGAATTTTGATTTCCAATTTGCAGCAAACTGGCTCTCAATTATACTCCTTCCCAATAAAAAATTGGCTAATTAGGGAAAGAAAACACAGTGCGTACATGTGCGCACACACACACACTTCTTGTTCATTGTAGGTTTCATTCCATTTTAAGACACAGCATTCATTATGACTCCAGAAATGTTGAAACGTAATAGACCTAAGGCAGAGATGTACAACCCGAGGCCTCAGGATCATATGAAGTCCCTGAAACCCTCAGATGTAGCCCTCACCTCTCAAAAACTTTGACAAATGGGAGAAACTATTACGTTATGAAATAATGGAGAGTAATCTTATCAGCCACATGTAATTTTATTGAAATGAATGACATCACTTTTAATTGTTTTCCCTGGCCCCACCTACTCACATGTCAAATAGATCCATGGCCCACAAAAATGTGCACACTCTTTCACTAAGGCACTGGTTTGTGTGTATATTCTGATTCTGAAGAAGTGCTGAACTTGATATTTGATGCGGAACTCAGTTTCTTCAGAACCTCTGACTTGTGTTAAAAGAAGAGATGCAGTAGTTGATAGTTTTATGGCTGAAAAGATCTGCCTGAAAGTGTCTAAGCAGTGACTGCAAATGCTCAAAAGATAAGAGTGCCTCTATAAAAGAGTGGGTGTATGAAGCATCAGGGCCTTACGTGGCCCTCCCCAGAAGCAACAAGACCAGAATAAACAGTGCAAAAGAACATCTGTTGAAAAGCATGATGCAACTTAAGCAATTATGCAAAATTTGCACAATTTACATAAGTCACAGAATCCTGCTTTTTCTTGATTCAGCAACTGGATGAGCTGGCATGCAGCCCTCTTCATAATATGGCATCCTCACCTGGGCACTGCTGTTTCGTGACAGGGCCTTGTAGATCTCATCAATGTTGGTAGCTACTGACTCAAAGCAGGAGTTGAAACGGTCAAAGCGCTCTTTTTTGATCTGCTCGAAGGCCTGCTTGGCTTTCTTTGCACGTTTCCGGGCAGCCTCAAATTCTGGCAGGAAAAGGAGTAAGCATAAATGGCCCCATCCTTCCAGAAAAAGGCCCCATCATAAAGCTGAGCTTTCCCCAAGCTGGTGCCCTCCAGATGCACTGGATGTTCTTAAGATGCTTGCTAGGAATTATGGGAGTTGAAATCCAACACCAGAAGGGCATTCGTTTGGGAAAAGCTGAGGTAATTGAGGCTACAAAAGTGATCTGGTACCATCAGAGGTCTCCTGGAACTTGTCCCTCACACTTTCCAGCTTCTCCATGGCCTTCATGTTTGGGGCAGCAATTCGCTGTAATATGCTCTGTTGCTCATTCAACTTCTGTTGCAGTTGATTCATCTCCTGTTTAATCTCATCTTCAGATTGAACATCCTACAAGAGAATAAGAGAAGTTAGTTCTGGGAGCCAGAGAACTGAGTAGCCCCCCAAACCCTAGAAATATATGGACAACTAAGAAAGGATAACTTGCAAAATGAAGTAAACTGTCTCTACCTGACAATTCTGGACCAAGCTGAGAGGTAACTCCTTGACTTTCTCATGTATTGTTTTTATCCCTGATTTTATCTTACAAAAGTCCAAACTGAGTAAGAATGGGGCAACGTCTAATCCAGAGTCCCCATCCATTTTGGCCAGTGGACATATTCGGAATATTAACAGTATACGGTGAATGCTAGAGCTGCCATGAGAAAGGAGGAACTGCCCATTCATGAAATGGCTGCCCTTGTGGCATGGTCAATTGCAAAAGAAAACAGATAATGCATGGACCCAAAAGGCCTCATGGAAAAGGCCCGCAAGCATGCACATGCATTGTGTAGATAAGCCCTGGCTTACCCGGCATCCATTTTACCATTCAATTATCTCAATATATAACATGGCCAGATAGTATATAGGTAGCAGCTGTCAAGAATCAAAGAATCGATGCTAGCTATTTTATAGTAAAAAAAAGTAGGTACGAGATTATTTTCCAATGTCCGTCTGATTCCTCACTCAGGCACTCTTAGTGATTATCTCACAGATTTCATGAGAATCTATTTATTGTGCTGTGCTTGTGACTTCCTCCTGGAATGGGCAGCCCAGCAGCTAGACTATCTCCTTAAAAACTCTGCAAGCCAGGATGGTCCTGCCAACACTGACATCTTGTGGTCAAAGATTATCCCACTCCAAAGGCTCTGGGTTAACACCTCTGTCTCCATATGAACCAGCCTATGAAAAGGGAAACAAGGCTCTGGTCTTTCACTCCTAGAACTTAAGAGTGTTAAAACAACTCTCCCAAGCCTAGAGCAAAAGACACTGTAACCTTATCTGACCTCTTAAAGCAAAGGGAATTACTAGTGAGTCTTATCAGTTGCAAGCTCGTTTTCCCTTTCCCTCATGCACTTAAATGTTGGAATTTCTGAGCAAGTTCACTCTCATGGCTTAGGTGGTAAGAAAAAGATAACCAAGACTCTTTTCATTTTCAAGCAAACAAGCATTTTTACACATGGTAAAATCCTCTAATTTTTTTTGAATTAAAGACTCTTAAATTTACCTTTTAACAATTCTTTTCAAAGATTTTTAACAAAGGGTACAGCTCTAATCAGATGGCCAATCCATTCAGAAAACCCAACAAATACAAGATGTTGGGAGCAATGAAAGAGTGGACTCAAGTTGCAGCTGCTTTGATGGCTGAAGCCCTCTGACCTCTTGCCCTGAAGTCCAAACCCTTTATCGCCTCAGCAGTCCAAGCCCCCTTGTCCCTTCTCCTTCTGACTAGTCATCTTCCATGGACATCCAACATCCCTGGCTCTTGATTGGTCTTTTGCCTTCAACCTGTTGTCTCATGCTGCGATTTCCCTCATATATCAGATGTCTTATGGTCATATCCAACTACATTTTGGCCCAATCTGCTGTGCCCAGATGAGGCAGCACATTCCTTTTGTTCCCTCAAGATGGTAATCACGTTCCTTGCCTTCCTGGCAAACATCTTAACTAAGCAGCCCTAATGTTTAACTCAACCTGAAACAACGGTCTTTGGCCTTTTACACTCACATAAATTTACAGGATTGTCATAATTGTTGTTAATGGTAAGTATCAGTATCAAAAATCCTGCAGATGACAGGCAAGTAGGCCGAGTTTTATATTCCCAATGTGATTGTGGATCAGCTTCCATGATTCCCAGTTAGCATTTGGTAATTCTGGAAGGGATTATGAGGACTGAAGCCCAGCACTTTTAAAGGGAACCAGGCTGGAGAAGGTCACCCTAACCCTTGGGGCCAGACAAATAGGTTCTTAGGAGACAGACACTATATGCTCCACAATGCTTTTCTTTAATCACCTGTAACAGTCTAACATCCTTTCCTCTGGCCATTAAATAAATTACATTCTGATCAGTTTTAAATCAATGGATAGTAATAAAAAGAAAAATGTTTTCGAGAGAGAGGTTTCATAGTTTTATAAAGCTGAATTTCTCATTTTGTATGCAATGGAGATAAATTGTGTAAAACACACGTATCTGTAAATACTTCTATTTTAAATTCAAGAAGTACAATCCAACAGTGCATGAACAGAGTCTGCTTGCACAAAGAGCCTTTCTCCTACTCTTCCCTCCAGCCATTAGGCCCCTTAATACTTGCTCTAAAAGGTCCTATAGTTCTATGGATCAGATCTGAAGAGTTTTTATGGGAAAGGAATTAATTGGATTTCTCCAAAACTGGGGAACTATTTCTTCTAGATACCTCAGAACTATTCCTTCCAAATATCACAGAATGATTCTGGCCCATATTCAGTCTTAAGAAGAGAGTAACCACTAAGAACAACTAAGTGACCTCTGCTGATTTAAACCAGGTAGTAATACCCCCTAGAAGCCAGCTTCATCTAAGATATTTCCCAACCTTTCAGGTTTTTGGAAATTATGTTTTTTTTTCTGCCTAGTTGCCCTCCATATATCACAAATATAAAGACTTTTACTGGTTTGATGCCAGAATAGGTCCTACATGAGCCTCCTCATTCATGCTGCTTATTTTTCTCTCATCATCATAGCAGTGACACCTAGAATATGGTCCTCTCTCCCAAATGACTCACCTGTCTTCCTCACTAGAGAGTTTTAGACAACAAGGACAATTTTTGAAAAACTTTTTTTTAGATAAAATAAAATCTGGGGAAAGTGGCTTGTCATTATTTTTTAATATCTGCTTCTTTTAAAGTATTTCGTGTTCTTCTTTATTCTGAATTAGTCCTATTGTTACATGGGCTTTTATTTCATTTTTATTTACATCAGATTTCCCCAGGCTGGTGTTCTTCAAGTGTGTGGGGACTCCTAGATCTAGCATTCTAAGCCAAATTAACTAGAAAATCTGAGAGCTGAAGTCTAAGATACACCTGGAGAACACTAGGCTGGGGAAGGCCTATGTAGATTACTTGATAAAAATATACAATATTCTGAAGTAAAGTGCCTTACTATGTTTGCATCAGGCTGGGAAGAACAGCCAGTCTTTTCAGCTGCCAGCCCTCAACTCCCCTCCACAGACGGCAAACCCCAGAGGGCTGCCCTTACCTTCAGATCCTCAGAAAGGTCGCTATAGTCAATCTCAATGAGAGCTTCTCGTGCATACATGTTGGAGGTCCTCTGTGAACTGCTGGCTGTCTCTTCCCCTTGGGAGCCACCCTGAAATCAAACCAAAAGAGGAAGAGAAGCTGACTTAACCCAAGCGTCCTGGCTTGGTATTCCTCCCTCTTCTCCCTCCAGGACTTTTTCTTACCTCCTCCTGGCTGATATCATCCATGGTGCCTTTGGAGAGGGGCAGCTTAATGTCTTGCATCTTGCAGGCTTGCAGTAAATTGTGGCGGTCACTGCGCTTCTGCTCCAGCTTGGTCTCAATGGCGGTTACCTCCTTCTGCAAGTGAGTCATCTCTCTGTGAAGAATAGCCCAGAGTGAAAAGGCAGCCCAGGCAAAGTAGCCTCCACCTCTGTAAAAACCTTGAAGTAGGCAATGCCAAGAACTCTGGCTTGCGGACTAAGAGAACCATCACATCTCAAGAGTTATTAGAAACAGACAGATCAGCCCCTCTCATGATGAGTCCTTCCAGATTGGAGACAGCAAACAGTTTCTTTGAATTTACTAGGCTAAGATAAGATCTCTATAAGCCCTTCTAATAGTTTAAAAGACTTCAGAGTGCAACTGCAACCGCGGCAGGGATTAGTAATCAATATGGACCATCTCATTTGTGGTCCCCTGAGTTCTCCCTCTAAGTAGGCAGTGATGAACATTTCAGATATTTTGGGGTGTTTTTCTGGCAAGGAGGGAGGTGGAGCAGCTTAAGGAGTGAAATGAATGCAATTAGCTTATGGCATCTGTAGCTTCACTCAAAAATCCCAGCCCCACCAAAAAAATAAAAAATAAAAAAATAACCCCAGACCAATTTTCCCGTTTTTGATGGAAATTTAAGAGAAAAATTGGGAGCTTAAGTTTCTGCAAGATTTATGGCACCTATTTCACTCCTTAAACTCCCCCAGCCAAAATGTCAACAGTCATACCATCTATGGAGAAAATATTGCTCTCAGGCCAAAAAAAGGTTTTCCACCACTGGACAAAGGACAGAAAGATGGGATATAAATTGAAATAATTATTACCACTGTAGTAGACATTATAACCAAGTGAGATCAGGGGCAGCACAGCACATCCCAGTTGAAAAACTTCAGGCTCATGGATCAATTTTCTCATATATCCATTCTCATGAGGTGCATTTCCTAACCTATAACACTTCTTTTACATAACAAATACTTCAAATAAGGAATTCAGGGCCACAGGAAGTGACTCTAATACCTTCTGGTTTGGAGATCATTAAAGATTCTGAAATCTCATTGCTAGTAGCAAATGCCCTTCAGTCTCTGGCGATTAGATACACAACTTGATAACGAGACTCAAGGATATTTAACTCTTTGGAAAAATTCTACTTTGAAAATTGGTGGTAAAATGTTCTATTGGAAAATTTGGGCAGAAGTCAGGATCATGACTTTAAACCAATTGTTAGGTACTGACTGTTTTAAGATTTTTTCTCAACTTCGAACTGAATTTGGCCTTTCCTGTTCACAATAGTGGGTATCTTCAACTTAAGCATGTTCTAATGCAGTGTTGTCCAAACTTGGCCACTTTAAGATGAGTGGACTTCAACTCCCAGAATGCTGGCTGGGGAATTCTGGGAGTTGAAGTCC